TCCCACCAGCAGTGTATGAGAGTCCCAATCTCTCCACAACCTCGCCAGCATTTGTTATTTTCTGTCTTGTTGAACTTTGCTACTAGTGCTGGAGCAATATGGTATCTCATTGTTGTTTTGATTTGCAGCTCTCTAATAGCTAATGATCGTGAGCATTTCTTCTTATGTTTGTTGGCCGCTTGAATATCCTCCTTGGTGAAGTGTCTATTCATGTCTTCTGCCCATTTTTAAATTGGACTGTTTGTCTTTTTGTTATTGAGGTGTTGAATCTTCTTGGTGGTTTTTTATCGTTGGCCCGTTGGTGGAGAAGGAGGTAGTGGCTTTCGCTCAGTAAGTGTTATTGCAGGAGGTGTGGGTGTAGTTGTGTCTTATGGGGACTGTTGTTGTCTCCCACTCAGACACAAATTACAATTGAATAACCATCAAAAACTAAAAGCCCATGGACGAAAAACACACCATGTAATCACATAGGAACAGTAACCAAAAAAAGAAAAAAGGGAAAAAAAAGAAGAAAACAAGGAAACCTGCAATATCTGGGGATAGGGCACTAAGAAAAAAAAAGTAAGGAAGGAGAACAATAAATGAAGAAAAAAGTGGAAAAAATGGAAAAAGAAAAACAACGAATGGGGTTAATCATGAGACAAAAGGGGGAAAAGAAAAAAAAAACCTTAAATTTAAAAAAAAAAGAAAAATTTCAACAAGGCACAGGGAAAAGAAAAAATGCTGAAAACTAGGACCTGGTAGGGGAAGATTAAGAGTAATAATAAAAAGGACAAAAGTATTAACAATATTAGTTGTTTTAAAACAGACAAATGCAAGCAAACTAATCATCAGAAAAAAGAAAGTGAAAAAGAAAAAAATAAAAATAAAAAGAGAAAATAAAATCGGTGGAGGACAGGGCAGGGCCCCCAGGATCTGTCTGAGCACACAGATTGTGATGGAGTTCCTGTAGGCCCAGAAGGTAGGTGGGAGTGGGGGATGGCCACACCTCCGTTCACCAAGCGGGTGTGGGGTATAAGAGTAACAAGAGGAATGTCGTACCTTTTCAGCCTTGCAGGTTCCAAGTGTCCTTGGGGTTGCTGGAAAGCAGAATGTGTTGTTAAGCCCCAGGAATCTGTGAAAGCGCTGTCTCTTTAAATATCCAAAATAGTCAAGCCGCTTTTTAAACCTTCAGTTCAGCCCACTTTTCTCTTCACCTTCTCCGTTTGTTTCCCAGCCACCATGCACAGTCCTCCGTGCAGTCCCTGGCTGGCAGGGTGACTTTGAGGGTAATTCTTAGGTCCTACCACCACTTAGGAATCTCTAAGCTGTCTGTGCTGTCAGGGTCACGCAGGATTGCTGCCAGACTGCAGCTCCATCTGTCTCCTTTTTTGGTATTTTCACGCAAATTCTTCTGCTAGTTGGGGTTTAGTCCACTTCTATATCCTTCCCTTCAAGGTTCAGGGGTCCAAGATTATTTTCTGTGTCTGTGTTAATTGGTTTCCCTTTTCTTTGTTGAAGAGGGTCTCAGTCTTTCTGCCTAGTCCACCATCTTGCTGGAACTCTATTGTTAGTTGCCTTTGAAACTGCTCTGACTTATGGTGACCCCATGACCAACAGAACCAAACACTGCCTGGTCTTGCACCATCTTTATGATCGACATACCAAGCCCATTGTTGCAGCCACTGTGTATTCTCAGTGCCTGCAAACTACCGTACTCATCTACCAGCACTGAATTGGACAGTATTTCAGTTTTGATCCATGGGGGTTTCATTGGGTAATTTTGAGGAGATCACTAGACCTTTTTTCCTAGTCTTAGTGTGGAAGCTCTGCTGAAACCTGTCCACCATGGGTGAGCCTGCTGGTATTTAAAATACTGGTGGCATAACTTCCAGCATCACAGCAACTTGCAAGCCACAAAAGTAGGACAAACTGACAAAGAAGTGGTGCCTCATCTGAGAGGCTTAGCTCATAATAAAGCATTCTCAACACAGTAGACTGTGTTGGTTCTCTAGTGCTGCTCTAGTGCCCTTTTTGAAGATTTCTCCACACTGGCCACTCTGGCCTGGGAATGACCCTCCAGTGGGTTCTCCCCATAGGGCAGAGTTCTCACACTTCCAGGTGCAGTGCAGTGCTAGGCAGACAGGTATGTGCAACAGCTTTTTTGATGTCTGACTCCTGCTATGTTCTGTCCACAGGAATAACCCCCAGCACCACCCAGCATGCCCATGGAATCACTTCCTCAACCTCACCCTCTGCATCCGGAGGGACCCAATGCGCCAAAGGGGCCCCCTAGGGGCCTCCCTGGCTCTGAGCTCAGAAGAGGAACCAGGAAGCAGAGATTCAGACCCTGATCAGCCACTGCAGCCACAGAGCCCCTTTACCTTAGCCCCTACACCCTCTTAGACCTTCCCTGCTGTCCTCTGGGAACTGGCCCGAGTTGGAGGCCCTCATGACATCAGCTGACATCGGGACAGTGAGTCCATAAATCTCCCCCGAGACAGCTCCTCTCAGTGGCAGAACTGACATCAATAAACACTGACCACAGCAAGGGAACTGGTGACATCAAACAATCAGGACACACTCTTATCTATTTAAAGCCCATTTACATGTAGCAGAAAGGGCAAGCAGGTCAAGAATGACTGCAAATAACATGCAATAAGCAAAGGCTTGCAAATAGCCCCACTAGCCTAAGAAAGTAGTCCCAAGTACGGCTGATTTTATTTGGCCCAATTAACTTGCTTACTTTACTGCTTATGTTTGCTTTGGGAACAGCAGGAAATAAAATATGTATGAATTAATATTTTAAAAATATTTGTTCACTAATCTTTATGAGGAGTCCCTAGGTGGTGCAAATGGTTAAGTAACTGAAATGGTGGAGGTTTGGGTCCACCCAGAGGTACCTTTCAAGAAGGAAATATCAGTCATTGAAACTTCTATGGGGCACAACTCTACTCTGACACGAGTAAATTGTGATCTTTTCTATGCCACGTTTTAGCTTAAACTATTCTTGGAGTAAGGTGTGCCTAACCAAAGCCATGGAGGTCTAGTGGTGTAGTGCCTATGGCATTTGACTGCTAACCAGAAGCCTGGCAGTTCAAACCCATCAGCCACTCCTCAGAAGGAAGATTGGTCAATCTGCTTCCATAGAGATACTGCCTTAGAAACCCAAGGAGTTGTCACTATGAGGCGGAGTCAACCCCATGGCAGTGAGTTTGACTTTTTTTTTTTTTTTAACCCAAGCCAAGGTGTTTTTAATCATCTCATATGCATGTAAAAGCTGGACAATGAATAAGGAAGACAGAAGAACAGTTGGTGCTTTTTTGAGTTGTGGTGTTGGCAAAGAATACTGAAAGTACCATGGGCTGCCAGAAGAACTAATAAATCTGCCTTGGAGGAAGTGCAGTCGGAATGCTCCTTGGAAGCGAGAATGGCCAGACTTCATCTCACTTACTTTGGTCATGTTGTCAGAAGGGACCATTCCTTGGAGAAGGATATCATGCTTGGTAAAGTGCAGGGTCAGAGAAAAAGGGGAAGGCCCTCAAGGAGATAGATTGACACAGCGGCTGCAACAATAGGCTCAGGTATACCAAGGATTGTGAGGCTGGCACAGGACTGGGCAGTGTTTCATTCTGTTGTACAGAGGGGTTGCTATGAGTTGGAGCCGATTTGACGGGACCTAACAGCAGCATTCTTAAATATGTTATTGGCCCTGCACCTGTTTTCAGATGGCACAAAGGTCTGAGACGTTCCCAACTTTTCTCCTCCAACACCCACCACTTAGCAAGATACGTTGTCTCCCCTCCCAGATCAGTAGACTGCAGTCACATGAGACGTGTGTCACACCTCCAATTTCCCAAAGTCTCTACCAGTCAGAGCCTAAGCTGAGGGGTGAGAATCAGCCTCAAAATGCTGTTGAAAAACATCTTTAATTTGGGGGGAGGGGTCATATTCTGGATTTGATGCTATGTGACCCTTGATCTAAGATCTGTTTAGGACTAGCCTGTTAGTGGCCACCAGCCCTGCCCTCAGTGACAGAGACAGCATCACATCACCAAACCAAATCAAACTCACTGCCATCAAGTCGGTTTCAACTCATAGTGACCCCTCCTTGGGTTTCCGAGGCGGTATCACTACGGAAGTAGATTGCCCAACCTTCCTCCCGAGGAGTGGCTGGTGGGTTTGAACTGCCAGACTTCTGGTTAGCAGTCAAATGTCTTAGCCACTATGCCACCAGAGCTCCCGCATTACATCACAAAGCCCATAAAACCCAGCATCACCACCACCAGGGAGGTGGCAAGTTTTATTTTTTACTACAGCATTTGGAATATTTATGGTTCAGTGTTTTTTTTTTTTTGTTGTTGTTGTTGTTAAATCTGGGTGAAAAGAGTGCACAATCTTCTCCATAGAGTGAGAGAGCTCTCCTTTAGCTCAAAACCAAAAAAACCAAACCCATTGCCATCCAGTTGATTTTGACTCGTGGAAACCCCACGTGTGCAGAGTAGAATTGCTCTAGTGTTTTCAAGCCTGTAACTTTTGGGAAACAGATTGCCAGGCCTGTCTTCCAAGGTACCTCTGGGTGGATTCGAACCCTAATGTTCTGGTTAGTAGCTGAGCACCTAACCGTTTGCACCACCTGAAGACTCCTCTCTTTTCCCCACCCCCAACTAATCCCAAAAGGTGAAGGCCAAATGTGACCTGACCAGACTCCAGGGCAGTGTGGATCTAGAAGGGATGAAGAGGTGGTGATGGGCTGCGGAGATGAGGCCGTGCCAAGTAGCTAAAAATATATTCTCGTTTTACTGAGCTGAAACCCAGCTTTAGAGAACTTGTGTCCACTTGACATAGCATATACAGTAAAACCTGTGAAAGCTGGATGGAGCCTGTGTAAAGTGGAAACCTATCAGAGAAGGAAAATTCAAATATTAAAATGAGCTCTGGTGGCCTAGTGCCTAAGGCATTTGACTGCTAACCAGAAGGCTGGCGGTTCAAACCCTCCAGCCAATCCTCAGAAGGAAGACTGGGCAAACTACTTCCCTAGAGATACCGCCTCAGAAACCCAAGGAGGGGTCACTATGAGTCGGATCCAAGTTTGGTTTGAAACAAGCGACAGAAAAGTGCTTCATCTTGTCAAAAGTGGGAAACTTGCAAGACCTGGAAAAGCAAGGCTGTCCCGCTGAGTTCGGGCTCTCACAAGTTTCATTCCTTTGTCTTTTATTTCTACAATCTGTGCTTCAGGAGGGCAAGAGCTTCTTCTTCACCATAGAAAAAGAGAGAGGGAGGGAGCAACTCCTGTTAAGTGCTTGGGCCCTCAGGGCAGAGTCATGGTCAATGGGCCTCCTGGTGGCTGCTGTGCCAGGGCCCCCTGTCTAGGGTTCACAGTGTGGGGGGAGAGTAGCCAGATCAGCTGTGTTTGATTCCGTATGTCCTATGTCAAGCAGGTGAATCCAATTCTCTGCAGCTCTCCCATCTAAGAGATGGCTGAGGCCTGGAGGTTACAAGAAAGCCGAATCTGGGAATTTACCTTCCCTTCCTGCTTGCCCTAGGCCTGGATTCAGGCATATGCCCCCAGAACCTCTTCCCAAACCCTAGTTGTGCATGAAACAGGAAACTAAAATAAAATAAAAGGAGACTGCAAATGGAAGACAAACGGTAGCATGTCCTCAGCTGGAATACTGATTGTGGGATTGCAACTGGAAGCTAATGTAGGATTCCAATTTTGGAATTTTTATTTTTGTGATTTGGGTGAAAGTTTGCAGGACAAATACACTTTCCATACAGCAGTTCACATACACTTTGTCTCATGACATTGACCACAACTTAGCACAATGCAACATCTCCCCTACTTCCTCCCGATACTTACCTCTTCCCTGTGTCCATCCCTCCATGCACTCCTGCCCCTTGAGCTGTCTCCCTGTGCATAAGCAGCCCTTCTTTCTCCCATGCTTGTTCTCTCCAAGGAGTGTATCTACCTCAAGTAAATGTTCAACTCATATGCCTGTCTATTGTTTGGCTGGAAACCACGGTGTGGATTCAATTCCAGACCTGAATGGCAGCTAGGGGCCATAGTCTCAGTGGTTCCACCAGGCTCTATTGGACCAGCAAACCTGGTCCCCCCTGCCTTTTTTTTTTTTTTTTTTCCCCCAAATGATTTTGAGTTTTGTTCCACATTATTCTCCCTCTCTATCAGGATCTCCTACATGGATCCCCTTCCAAGTGGTTGACAGTGGTAGCCAGGTACCATCTAGTTCTTCTGGTCTCATAGTTGTACAGGCTGCAGAACGGATGGTGTACTGGTCGCTAGGACTAATTGTTTCCATGAATTTTTGGTTTTCTTCATTCTCCTTGGCTCTGGACGAGGAGAGACCCATCGTTGCATTTAGATGGCAACTTGCAAGCTTTTAAGATCCCAGTCACTACTCGCCACAGTAGGAGGTGGAACAATGTTTTGTGTAGTATATTATGCCAATTGAGCTTGATGTTCTCTGCAACTATGGTCCAGAGCCCACAGGTTCAACTACTTGGTCCATCTGGGTAGCTGGCTGTGACCAAGCAGTGACTACAACCTTGCTCCTTGTCAGCTCCACTATACACCTGGGAATTCAGATCATACACATAAACTTATAGGACCATTGTCTGCCAACCCTATACATGTTCTTGGGTACACTCCCCACTTCACAGACATACCTAATAGTTCAGCCTGTCCACCCATCTATCCACCCATATACCCGTGTTTGCCTTCACTGACCATGCCATACTATATGTGCAAAAGGGTTCATCTTTGTTGTCTGTACTTCCAATTTTGAAATATTCTTAAAGAATATTGTGGCATGCATGCATGCACTTATTTATCATTTATTTACTTATTTTCAGGGAGAGGGGAGGCAAGGGAGAGGGCAGTGGAGAGAAATGATTCTTGCTTTTTAGGCAATGACCACTATTTGTGGTAAAGGGTCACCTGTAGATAAAGTGGTGGGAATCTTGTCATTAAAAAAACAAACAAACAAACAAAAACCCAAAAAACAAAACAAAACAAAAAAAACCCTAGAAAAGATCCTAAAGAACACTCAAGCTAAAGCTCACTGCTGAGTCGATTTTGACTCACAGGAATACCCATTGGGTTTCCAAGGCCATAAATCTTTACAAAAGTAGATTGCCCCATCTTCCTCCTGCAGAGCAGGAGGTTTGAACCACTGACCTGGTTAGCAGCCAAACGCCTTACCCATTATGTCACTAGAGTGCCTTGTAAAAGTGTAAATGTTTAGTAAATATAAGACCAAGTCATTTTCAGGGCGGTGTATATTATATGGACATATTTCCTGACAGATAAGAAATGCCACTTGTGCCATGTGATGATGGTGTCCAAAGAGCAGACTCTGCCTGGGGCCCAGGTGTAGAGGAATTTTAAGCAAATAAGCTAGAAAAACTGCAAATAGCCTATCTAGCATAGGAAAAAAGGACCGTGGTGGCACAATGGTTAAGTACTCTGCTGTTAACCAAAAGGTCAGCTTTTAGAACCTACCAGCAGCTCCACAGGAGAAAAGATCTTGTGATCTGCTTCCATAAGGATTATAGCCTAGGGGACCCTACAGGGCAAGTCTACTGTGCCATATAGGGTTGCTATAAGTGGGAATTGACTGGACGGCTCACAACAGCAAGCATAGGAAAGTAGTCCCAAATATTACTGGTTTTATTTGGTACACTTAACCTGCTGATCTAACTACATATGTTTGAGTTGGGAATGGTAATAACATAAAATATGCACTAATTAAGATTTTAAAAATGTTTATTCACTAATCATTACTATGCCACTTTTAGCTTCAAATGTTACTTCTGTAATTTTTAAAATAATTTACTTTTGTTGTTAAAAAATATATATAGCAGAACATACTCAACAATTTCTACAGAAAATGCAGTGACACAGATTACATTCAAGTTAAGCAACCCTTCTCACCCTCCTTTTCCAAATTATTCCTGTCCCATTAACAAACTCATTGCCCCCTGAGCTTTCTTTTTTTTTTTTTCCAACAGCCCCTTTTCGGTTGCTGTTGTCAATTTGATTCCACAGATAGTTCTTTAAAACAGCACAATGTTCAATGCAGGCATTCTTTACTAATGAAGCTGAACTATTAGCTAAATGACTAGAAAAGATCCATATTTGTACTCATTCTAAAGAAAGAGGATCCAACAGAATGTGGAAATTATCAAACAATATCATTAATATCACATGCAAGTAAAATCTTGTGAAGATAATTAAAAAACGGTTATAGCAGTATATTGACAGGGAACTTCCAGAAATGCAAACTGGATTCAGAAGGGGATGTGGAATGAGGGATATCATTGCTGATGTCAAATGGATTTTAGCTGAAAGAATACCAGAAAGATGTTTATTTATGTTTTACTGACTATGATGGCAATACCTGACAAGGGACTTACCTCTAAAATTTACAAAAGAACTCCAACATCTCAACAACAAAAAAACAAACAATCCAATTAAAAAATGGGCAGAAGACATGAATAAACACTTCACCAAAGAAGATATTCAGATGGCCAGCAAACACATGAAGAAATGTTCACGATCATTAGTCGTTAGAGAGATGCAAATCAAAACAACAATGAGATACCATCTTGCCCCAGCACTAATAGCAAAGTTCAACAAGACAGAAAATAACAAATGCTGGTGAGGATGTGTATGGGACTCTTGTACACTGCTGGGGACTGTAAAATGATTCACCACTAAGGAAATCAGTATGACGATTCCTTAAAAAGTTGGAATTAGAAATATCATGTGATCCAGAAATCCCATTGCTAGATATATATCCTAAAAAAGTACGAGCCTATTCTCACTGTTTGTTCTATTGTACACAGGGTCACTATGAATCAGAGTCTACTTAATGGGACCTAACAACATTATTTGGTTTAAAAGAATACTTCAGGGGGGTATTTTTTGTTTAAGGTTTAAAATTAGCTAAGGACAAGAGTTTCCAGGGTTCATTCTGCCTCAATGGCTCCAGAAAACCTGGATTTCATGAAAATTTGCAACTCTGTTCTGCATATTCCCCTTTTTGATTAGGATTCTTTTATAGAATGTTTGATCAAAATGTTCAGGAAAATGTTTGATCAAAATGTTCAGGTACCAACCAGTTCTTCTGGTCTCATGGCAAAGGTAGTAGTTGTTCATGGAGGTAATTAACCACACATTCTATTTCCTCCTCCTATTCCTAACTCTTCATCCTGTTGCTCCAGGCAAACTGAGACCACATATTGTACTTTGAAGGGCCACTTGTGAGCTTTTAAGACCCCAGGCACTACACATCAAACTAGTGGGGAGAATGTTCTATGTTAATTCATTGACCCTGAGTTCACCTGGCTGATCTGTACCTGTTTTTGAACAGTCAAAGGAAGCCTACGAAATCTTACCTGTGAAACCCATGAAATGTCATATTTGACTTTTGTCTGCTACCACACCAATTATTATACAAAACCATTAAAATTAGTCAAATCCTGACCTAAAAAACGCAGGCCTCTGTGGAATAAAAGTAGCCTGTGAACATCAATTCAAGCAAACACAAAACCCTTACGAAAATAGACATTTATTAAGAAGAAGGTATAAAACCCACAATCCTCTTCTTTGAAACACTACTTTAAAAAATATAAAAAGAGGTCAAATCAATTTTACACTTTGAGGATTTAGTGTAAAATCTTTTTAACTTAGCAAAATAATTAATAAATATTGATAGAACTTGTTTGTTTGAAAAGTTAGTCAAAACTTTGTTATGACTTCTTCAAGAAAGATTATTTAAACATCTTTCTTCATATTCTTTGAGCTGAGACAGTTGACATTTTAGCTTTACTATCCTTGAATCCCTAAAGCACTTAAAAGTTGTACTTTGATTTGAGGTAATGCCTTTGAAGAATGAGGACACCCAAAGAGGGCAGGTCTTGTGATGACCCCGAGGGCAGTGCCTCATACTCGCTATAACTCTGACCATTCCACACACAGTCCTCTGAGTTTACTACTCTTCGGCCAATTAAATAAATTCCTCTCAGGTCTTCCCGTCAGGGAACTGAGTCAGTGCACTGGGTCTCTCCTCTCCCATGCTTCCACACAAATCTTTGACTTAACCAAACTTCCAGAACTTGGTGCTCATGAGGTTAGCCAGGTGGGCTTCAAGCATCTGCAGCAGAGGTGGCGATGTCCTTGCAGAGCACAAAGATGGCATCCTCTGGGGCCTGGCTTTTGTCACTACCACTTGGTGCTTCCTCTGTGGCATCACAGATCATTTGGGTGTGGGCCAAGAGGGTATCTGGCCGCGGGGCTCCCAGCCAGAGGTCCTTGATGTACAGAGACACCAGGAAGGCAGCAGCACCTGTGGGAGAGTTAGACAACAGGGCCAAGAAGACATAAACCTGCTCAGCTTGGAAATGAACCATCCCGTCCCATCACATACAGTGGCTATGCTAGGCATCCAAATTCGCTGCCATATATATGTGGATGGATAAAAATTAATTTTCCCTTTGCTTGATTTTTTATCTTTTTTTTTTTTTTTTTCCTCTTCCCTGTGTCCTTTCCTGTAATGCATTCCCGCCGCACCCTGAGCTGTCTCCCTGTGTGAACACTGACTGCCTTTCTGTTCTACCATGATTAATCTCACCAAGGAATGTATTACCTGATGTAAATGTTCATCCCATATGCCTGTCTATTGTATGGCAAGAAGCCACAGGACTGAATGGAATTTCAGACCTGAAGGGTAACTAGGTGCCATAGTCTCAGGGGTCTCACCAGGCTCTATCAGGCCTGCAAACCTTTTTTTTTTTTTAAAATGATTTTAAGTTGTGTTCCACATTGTTCTCCCACTTCATCCAGAATCTCCTGCACCGATCCCCTTTGAGTAGTTGACAGTACTTGGTACTGCTAAGCACCATCTAGTTCTTCTGGTCTCATGGTCATATAGGCTGAGGATCGCATGGTCTACCAGTGCCTCAGGCTAACTGTTTCCATATATCTTTGGTTTTCTTCATTCCTCTTTGCTCTAGACAAAGAGAGACCCATTGCTGCATCTAGATGGCTGCTGGCAAGCTTTTAAGACCCCAGTCACTACTCACCAAAGTAGGCTGCAGAACAATGCTTTTGTGTAGTATGTTATGCCAATTGAGCTTGATGCCCCCTGACTATAGTCCCGAACCTGCTAGTCCAACTACTCACTCCCTCCAAGTAGCTGGCCAAGAAGCCACCACAACCTTGTCCCTTGTCAGCTCTACTGTATACCGATCATTCTTACAATACACATAAATACACTTATAGAAACATTGTTTTTTAATCCTATTAGAGATGTGGCCACAGTCATGGGCACTGTGGTAGTTATGTTTGTGTGTCAATTTGGCTGGGCCTGGTTGAGTGGCTGGGCAGCTGGTGGTAGTTATTCCCCATGATGAGACTGGCAATCAATTCTATGGTGGGATCTACCACAAGCAAGGCCATCCCATCTGTGGTATATTCTTGTCAGAGCAGCACTAGGTAACCAGAACAGGCACGTTCCCCCCTGCCTAGACATACTTGACCATTCAACCTGTCTACCCATCTATCTTTTTTGTTCATTTAAATATTTATCTTTCTTCTGATGAATGTGTGTGGATCCCTAAAAAAAAGTTACTGCACCCAAGTCTGCTTGAGTCTACCCACCCACACTAAGAACCAGAGTTGGAGCTTAGGGAACAGCTTCATGGAATCTTTCCATTTCTTCAATGGTCCTAGAAAGAGGTTTTATGGGCATAAAGACTCAATCCCTAGGCTGTAGCCAGAGGAGAGAAGACAGGTCATGCCCGCTATTGGGTGAGTTCAGCTCCCCTGGCTTCTGGCCCTGCCCCCACCCCCATCCCCTTACACCCAAGGATCAAGAAGGCAACCCCACTGAGATCAAGGAGGCAGTCCTTTGAGATCAAGGGGACCACACGCATGCGGCCACATCAGCCTCTCTCATGCTCTCCCACAGCATTTGAAATCATTTGGTACTCATTCATTCATTCAAACCTTTATGAATGGCCTGCTAAATGCCAAGGTGGTAAATTGTGTGTACGTATACACACACAAAACTTGCACATATGCACACTACATATATACATGCACATGTGCATACACATATAACTTACACATATGCACACATACATCACACCATGACTTGAAACATATCTACATTGAGTCACAGTCAAAAAAAGTATGAAAGCTATATCTTTACAGGCTGGGAGAGCCTATGGTGGTACAGAGACTCTGAGGTGGATGCCTTTCTCCGCTGTAAATGTGATTATTATGAAAGGTTTTACTTGAAAGCCATAGCAGATGTCCTCTTCCTTCATACTCAGTGCCAATGGCAAGCCCTCTGGAACACCTTGCACCATGTAAGTGGCCTCCTCAGCATTTAAATTAAGGGGTTTCCAGCTCTAAGGGATAAAGCTGTTCCCCACCTCCACTCAAAGAAGGAACATTACCTCTCATGGCTTCATCCTCTTCTGTCAGAGAAGTGAGGCACAGGGCTTCAATGGCCAGGTGAAAGGGGTTCCTCACGGGGCCTTGGGCGGCCACCAGCTGCAGCATGACCGTGTTGAACAGATAGGTGACCCCCTGTGCAGGCTCCACCAGCCCCTCAGCCCCACACAGCCGGCTGTACAGCTTAAAGAGGCCACTCCTCACTGTGCTGTCCCTGAGAAGGTCAGCCACGACCACCGGCTGCGGCAAAATGTGGCTCTTGAGCCAGCTGAGGAGTCCTGTAGCCTCAGGCCCACTGGGTGGGCAACTGACCATGGTCCTTAGCACCCAGTTGGCCACCAAGGAGGTAGCAGTGTGCACAAGACCTGGGGCACTGCTCTCAGGGTTGGCACTATCCGTGGGCTCTGGACAAGGCTCAGGGCTAGACAACACAGGCCCCCAGTGAGTCAAAATGGACCTCAGAAGACTTCTGCAGGTGTCCAGGTTGGCTGCCTTTAGCTTGGGGGCAGCCGTCTCTTCTGCTTCCCCAGGCCTCCTCTTTCGGCCCCGAGGGCCTTTGGCTCGGGCTGGCCCAATGGGCTTGTTCTTATCCTTGATCATTTCTGTCACACAGAAAGAAGGGGCAGTCCTTAGTGTGGGAAAGAAGCAGGACCAGTGCCCACTCCCCACTCAGCTCCACAGATGGGAGGGGAGTGTGACAGGAGAGGGGACAGTGTATCTGCACTGAGCGCATTATGCACCTGACCTGCTCCTATGCTTACAACAGAGTAAGTGCTCAGTGGTTTATTGGGGTGGTTGATACTGTAATTATGATCACTCATTTAACCCTCACCACCACCTTACAAGGCAGCTTGTATGTTTCATGCGTGAGGAAACAGACACAAGTATAAATGTAAGCCTGGGCTTGAATCCAGGAGGTTGGGTTCCAGGCTATGCATCTGACCGGACACTGTACTGACAGGTGGAGACAAGTAGCTGTTGGTTTCCCCTACTCCAGTCCTCACACTTTACAGGTGAGTAGCCTATATTCAGGCAGGTGAAGTGACATATCTGAAAGGGCACATGCTCCTTAGTGGCAGGCCTGGAACTCATGCCAGGTCTCCCAGCTACAAAATCAGTGTCTTTTCCATCACCTTCTGTGGCCCTCAGGCAGATGACCAACACCACTAACAGCTGTCACTTTTCTTTTCCTTATGCTTATATTAAGTGAGCCCAGGGCCTTTAGGAAGCCAAGAAACTGACCCAAGTGTGTGTCCAGTCCAGCAGGTGACTGGGCCTCCTTCCCATTCCGTGGACGCTCACTGTTGAAGCTTCACCTACATGCCACATGAGTTTGTTTCCTTCCTGGATGCCCTCCCCTTCCCCTGAGGCTGCACCTCTACCACTGAGAACTTGGCCTGGGAGGTGTGGGGTCCTGGTGGAAAACAGAGCAGCTGACATGACTGATCAGTATGGGCTCAGCTCTCCCTCTCCAGGGCTGTGGAGATAGGTGTGCCCATCTCTAAAGCCCCATCAATTTTGGAGATGCTCCTCAAGGAGGCAAGCGGGCTGGCTGCTCTGGGTGGAACAGAGCAGTTTGAGGAGCAAGCCACACAGAGCCCCAGGTCCTAATACTCACTCATGAGCTCCTTGACTTGGTGTTTCTCAGCAGTTGTTTTCAGGTCTTCCTGGAGTTTGATGTCTCTTTCAAAGAGGCTCCACTTGTGCAAGAGAACAAGGGCATCTCTGGTGGAAAGCACCTTCTCATTCACGGTGAATCGCTTCATCTCCTTGAAGGCTAGAATGACGGTGGCCCGGTATCTCAGCATGGAATCCAGTGCCCAGAAGAAGTTGGTCACCTGGGCAGGGTCCAAGGTAGACCTATTCAGGAATCAAAGTCACAGACTGAAGCAGAGGTGGCCACTTTCACCTGGAAACCCAGGACTGGTGAGGCCAGTCACATTGTAGAACCAGTGTGCCAACGCATCCCACAAACTAGGCTTCCAATGACAAGACCCTAAGCATGGAGCCCCAGTGCCAACACAGGAAAATGGGGAGCCGCTCAGGGGAGGCAAAAAGCAGGCCCTATGCCTGAGGGATCCCTTTGGAAACCAAGGTTAAATAGGATAAGTAGGCAGGGAAGGCCTGAGGGTCAGGATGCAAAGGCCTAACAAAACTCAACACCTGGACAGTCGATCATTCTCCCCCTTGGAAACTATCAGACTCAAACTGGAAAAGGTCAAGAGGCCTGGGATAGCATCACCACCCATTGCCAAAATCTGAAGGGTGGTCACTGGGAGGAATGACATCTCTCTGAACTTGGAGAGAGTTAAAATTCCGTAACATCTATTCCATGTAATCACAGAAATAAAACTGTTATTTCAAATAACGATCTGTTCAAAGATCTATCTTCCAACCACAAAATAAGGAATGTGGCTTACTGGCATGGATTTTACAACTGAATTTGTAACAACATCAAACAAAAGGCCCTGATATTTATCAAAAAAATTTTCATTCCAAGATTACAATCCATTTGCTATCAATCATCTAGTTCAAATCAATATACCTCAGTTCTAAAATCAGAAATAGAGGAGTGCAGACAGTGTATTTTCTCTTGCACTTTGAGATCACAGGAGAACTTGGCTCTCCTGAGGAAATCAAAAGCACTATCCCAAGGATTAAAAGGAGCTCTGATGGCATAGTGTGTAAGGCATTTGACTGCTAACCAGAAGGTTGGTAGTTCAAACCCACTAGCCACTCCACAGAAGGAAGACTAGGTGATCTACTTCCATGAAGATTTACCACCTCAAAAACCCAAAGGGGGTCACTATGAGTTGGAATTGACTCGATGGCAGTGAGTTTGGTTTGGTTTTTATCCTAAGGGCTTGGAAGAAAATACAGAAATATTCAAGAAAATCCATGGACAAATGAGTTTCCACAGACCGATGGAGGCAGAGGTAAGTGTGAATCACCTTTAACTTTTAAGGTCATGGAAAATATGTTCTCCCCACACATCACTTTATTCCACTTTATTTATACATTTAATCAATGTATCAAGGTAGAGGGTTCACCTGTGAAAAGTGACCCGGTATGACAGCTTTTGGACTTTTAACTGTGTTAAGTTCTGAGTCTCAAATAACAAAAACAAACAAACAAAAACAAACTCACTGCCATTGAGTCGATTTGACTCATAACGACCACTTTTTGGGTTTTCTAGGTGGTGTCTCTACAGAAGTAGATTGCTCAATCTTCCTTAGTGACTGGTGGGTTTGAACCTCCAGCCTTCTGGTTAGCAGTCAAATGCCTTAGGCACTATGCCACCAGAGCTCCTGAGTCTTGAAAAAGGGTCTTATAATGTTGAAACAGAGGGGAGTAAACAACTAAGATAGATTTCCTGAAGGCATCCATGGCTGATACCAGTTCACACCAGACCCACCTACAGAGTTGTGACCAATAGATGAAAGCTAAAAGGTGATGCCCACACATGGCACACCAAATAGTGGTGTTGCCCAACACAGACCAACACAGTACCAAGGGATCACTCCCACCTGGGGGTGGGGCACTTACCTTAGGTGCTTCGTGAGTGCAATGAGAACAAAAAGGAACTCATCCACAAGGTGCAGGGCGAGCAGCTTTGGGGGATCCCGGGACCCCGGCTTACAAGGGGGCTGGCTTTCTGTCTCCACCATCCTGTCTCCTAGGTTGGTCACCCACAGAGTGTGTACCAAAGAGATGACATTAGAGAGCAATTGCGTCTCCAGAAACCTGGAACCACATACGGGCAACTTTCATGCGCTGTTCACATTATCCCCTTCATGAAGACCTGTCTGTCTGGGTTTGGTATAAAGGGGAAAGCGGGGACCAGAACCAAGTGGTGGCTAGGGCTTTACCTGTCCTCCTAACATTAATCTGCTCATCACCAGCCCCCCACCCCCAAATATCATATCATCTATGTGAAAAAAAGGGTGCTTGCTATATGCATGCTACTTCAAGACATGGGAAGAGGCCCCTGACTATTCTTCCTAACCAGATGATGATCCTAAGACCCCTCCTACAGAGAGATTCTGGAGCCATCATGGGACAGTAAGAACTGCTGTGTTCCTAAAAACAATTTGATTTCCAGAATATAAAGTTATCTGCCAGGAATAGAGAATTGGCCAATTATGTTTTATAATCTGAAAAGGTTTTGACAACGAAGTCCAGGCATATGTTCTAGAATTGAGATATTCTTTTCTTCTAGAGAAATTTTAGGAAACACTTAGAAACAGAGGCACATAAGGGCCTGGATATCCTCAGACTTATTACAGTAGTTTTTTGAAAGACAGAGCCCCTTCCCACCAAGTGCTGCATGCTGTGACAAAGTTTCCTACTTCCAGACAGCCTCACACTCAGGAGAGATCATATGAATCACTGACTTGGCTCCAGACACTGTCCCCACACCAAGGATGTAGGGCTGCACTGAAAGAGGGGTGCTGTGACCCTAAAACTGACACTCCTGAAACTGAAGCCCTCTTGTTTCTACCTTAAGGAGATGCTGTGTTCTTTAAAGAGCCCCTAGGTAGTACAAATGGTTAATGTACTACTTGTTGCTATCTGAAGGGTTGGAGGTTTGAGTCCACCCTGGGTTATCTCAGAAGAAAGGCCTGCCAATCTACTCCTAAAATATCCACCATTAAAAACCCTATGGAGCACAGTTCTACCTTGACACACACAGGACCATCCTGAGTCAGAGCTGACTGGATGGCAACTGGTATTCTTTAAAACTTTGGCTTAAAATAAACTCATTGCCATCGAGTCAAATTCTGACTTACAGAGACCTTACAGGACAGAGTAGAACTGTCCCAGAGGGTTTTCAAGGCTGTTAACTTTATGGAAGTAGGCTGCTACATCTTTCTTCTGTGGAGTGGCTGGTAGGTTGAACTGCTGACCTTTTAGTTAACAGTAGAGGGCTTAACCTCTGCACTACCAGGGCTCCTTACATGAGACTTTCTGATCATGTAAAGCTTGCCAGTACACCAAGGGAGGGACCTGACCTGTGCACGAAAGGTAGAAAAGTCTGACAAAGGTAAACAGCAGCTGGTGGTAAAGCCAGGCCGCAGCAGACAGAGACTGCAGAGGCATATTTGAACTGAGGAGGAGCCACACTGGCCCTAAAAGGGCTTCCCTGGGCCCTTCCAACGGACATAATGCCAGGGGCAGACACATCACTCTCTCCATCCAAGCCTCGTCCCGCCTGACACAAGCCACACGTGCTGCAGGTGCTTACCTGCTCTCGAGGATGTGTACAATCCATGTTAGGAGGCTATAGTCTCGTATGATTTCATAGGCAGATTTGGCAACCTGGGCAGCGTTCTGTAGAATTTCTAGTATCCAATTCTGAAAACCCAAACAAACAAAAAATTACTCTTTAGCATGCAAATTAACTTCCTTGATCAATTTATTCAGGTAGGAATAAAGGAGCAAGTCAAGTTGAACTGCATTAAGCCAAGTAGGTGTTCCATAAATGCATATTTAATAGTTAACCTAGTGACTTACCAAAAAATATATAACAAGAATGCCATACATCTTAGAACTGTGAGTTTTAAAGTTTGAGAATCTACCTAAAAACCAATGCATTCAATGGAAAACATGTCTACATGCAAGCCTGTGAGAACTTTAACTTTTCAAACATTTACTCTCTATGATCTTACTGCCAGAACACAGCTTGTGCAATTGCAGTGTCTGGGCAGCAGTATTAATAGGAAAAACACAAAGGTATACAACATTACAGGTAGTTGCTGAAAATGAAGTTTGTTTTGCTAAGTCTGTAAGAGTGGTGGCCACGTAGGGCCGTGTATCTCCCTAAAAGTGGCAACCAGAGGACACAGCCTTCCACAGTAATTGCTGGTTCCTGGGGGACCCCCATTTCTGCGTAATTCATCATAACAAATCACAAGTGGCCCATAAGTGAAGATGGGCCATGGAAACCACACGGCCCTGAGCATCCACGGCCTGGGTGTTCACTGTATATGCAGCAGCCAGGGCTGAGCTGGGGGAGATCCATATCTAGCCTGGCCATGAGCTTTTGGACCCTGTTCTACTACCTGGAAAAGAGGACATAAAGATGGGACTGCTTGTGGAACCATTAATTGGGTGCTTTACAATTCTCACATTCCATAAAAATGAAACACATCATAACTCCAATTCAATTTCTTCAAATGTGCTTCTTACCTTGGACTGAATCCTGTTTTACACACTATCAGGAACAAAAGTCAGCCAAGCTAGAAATTAATCAAAATACCAGAACCTTTTCCTATTTATTCCTCCCAACCACCTGTGGCATTTAGAAGACACACCAATCAGCTCTGGGTTCCAGGAGATAACCATGACTGCATAGACTCTTTTAATAGCTATGAGGCAGTCAGTGCAAACTCTCAACACTCTTTGTCTACCAGCCAAGCTTGATGACAAGTAGCTTCTGACACCAAATGAAATGGTGGCTCAAGAACTTCTCAGCCAGAGTATCTTAGTCATTAATTTGGTATAATTTATGTCTAGACTTCTTAGCCAGCTCCAAAGGCTCATGATTACCAACCAGCTCTTCCTCCTTGAAGCCAAAAGAAAGAAGCCTTAATATCAGCTGAGGGCATGGTTAAAGGTTGCAGTGACAGGCATTTATCTCATCAGAGGAAAAACAACCTAGTGTCAACAACACTGCAGCCATCAATGACTCAGCCAGTACAACATACAGGCAATAGGAAAGGCATAAAAGGCACCTCACTTCCCCTAACTGAAAGCCCAGGTTCAATGTCAAATTAGATCAGGGAAACAGTTGGGTCCAGGCTAGGGTTAGAATTCACACAGGCTTGACTCCCAAATTAACACCTTGAGAACAAGCAGAACCTTTCAGCCTCAAGTTAACTGGTTGTCTTCGTGTACCTGGGCTGCTTCGTCACACAGTGGGCTGTTGAAGAAGGACAGGATGACGTGGAAGATGCCCTGTCTGGCATACAGCTCATAGCAGTGCTTGTCTCGAATCCCCTGCCGCAGAACGCCTAGCACCCACTCCTGCTCGGTTTTTTGCTGTAACCCAAGCAAACAGGACATGATTGTTAAGTATGTTCAAACTCTTTTATCTATTTTCAAGTAAAGAATCCAACATGGCAGTTCCACCCCCATTTCTGATTACTAGTTGTCACTAAGTCCATTCTAACTCATGGACCCCAGGTGTGTTAGAGTAGAACTATGCTCCATACAGCTTTCAATGGCTGATTGTATTGGAAGTAGATCTCCAGACCTTTCTTCCAAGGTGCCTCTGGGTGGACTCGAATCTCTAAACTTTCAGTTAGCAGCTGAGCAGTTTGTATCACCCAGAGGACTCCTCCATTATGTTATTAAAAATCCTCACTCTCACCTTTGGTTCAATTTATTCAGGTAGGAATAAAGGAGCAAGTCAAGTTGAACTGCATTAAGCCAAGTAGGTGTTCCATAAATGCACAGTTAATAGTTAACCTAGTGACTTACCAAAAAAATATAATAAGAATGCCATACATCTTAGAACTCTGAAGTTTTAAAGTTTGGCAATCTACCTAAAAATTAATGCATTCAATGAAAAACATGTCTACATGCAAGCCTGTGAGAACTTTAAACTTTTCAAACATTTACTCTCCGTGATCTTACTGCCAGAACACAGCTTGTGCAATCATGGTGTCTGGGCAGCAGTATCAATAGGAAAATATCTGAATGACAGCAGCAGCAGAGTAATCCAACTCAGGAATTTTTCAGGGCCTTAAGTTTGGTTTTGTTTTGGAAGCACTTTAGAAGCAGTACCTCAAAGTCTGAGCTGTAGAAGAACTGGTAGAAGCCTGGAACTTTGTTCATATTCAGATCCTGATGTGACAGCAGGAACTTGCTGATCTTTAGGTACATGTGTTCCTCTGTGGACACAGAAGATGGTCAGTCACACAGCACCCACAGGACATGTGTGCTGGCAGAGTCAGGAAGTGGGTAACCATAAATCCCTGTCCCTATGTGGCTTTCAGGTGATTTGTTCTTGAGACTCAGAATACAGCCTCACACCTTAATTCTATCCTGCATACAGCCTTTCTCTGATGGGTCAGAAAGCATGTCTCTGAGACATTCAATTTCCTCTATGATTAGCACCCTGCTGTAGAAGCTCAAGTCAACAGTGGGAGGCACATCAACCCAAACCTCAAGCCTCTCACTTAAAGACACCATCACAGCAGAGGACGTGCAGATGTTTAGTGGGTCACTTTGCTCTGTGATGCAGCAAGGCCTATGCAACAAGGCCAATGGACAGATATGCCCTCCACCTCTACTTTCTTCCTGGATCCTGGATCACTAGCTCCAGCCTGTCCATCCCCACTGTGGCCCCCTAACCCTAGACCCGGGGTCTGATGTAGGACAGAGATATGCCCAGGCAGCAAAGGCTGGACGAGAAGCTAAAACCAAAAGCAGTATGTATTGCATCTGATCTTTTCCACAACAGGCTTTTTAAAGTCTGCAGATGGTTAAATTATTTTCTTTCCTCCCAGAATTTCAAGATGAGGAAAAAAATCATGTGATGAAAATGACACAGGAACCAATGACAATCAGGAGATCTGAATTCTAATAGCAACTTGACCACAGTCTGTAGGACCTGGGATAATGTACTTAAATCTTAGGGGCCTCAGCTGGAGGGGACGTTTCCACATCCGAAAAATGGCTCTGTTTTATTAAAAGAATGGACTACCTCCCACTCACATTTCCTTAGCAGGGGTACTCCTGTTGTCAGGCAAAAAAAGGACCCATGCTTTGATACCTTGGGTTACTCTTGCAGTGACTCACAGGTCAAATGCTTTCTAGCCAAAGATCCATGAGGTCATGCTAACTCCCAGACACTTTCTAAGCATGGAACACTGGCTGATAACACTGGTGATGGTGGCAGGAGCAGCAGTGGCTAACAGTGATGGGCGTTCCTGGGTGTGGGCTCCCTGTCAGGGCTGTAGCTATCATCACTCCCATTTCACAGGGAAGAAATGGAGGCACAGAGAAATGAAGTAACTGCCCTAGTCCACACAACTGATAAGGGTCAGAGCCTGAGTCTGAACCCAGGCAGTCTGCCTTGAATCCATGCTTTTAACTCTGGGATAGATGCCCCAAAGGGGACACATCTACAGATGGTTGTGATTAACTAGGTTTTTACTTCAGTTTTATTTGCTGCTTGTATACAACTATACGGAAATATGAATACAGCCATCCTTTGATATTCATGGGGGATTGGTCCTAGGACTCCTTGCAGAAACCAAAATTCCTTATAAAAAATGGCATAGTATTTGCCGTAGAACTATACACATCCTCCCGTATACTTTAAATCACCCCAGATTATTTACAATACCTAATAAAATGTAAGTGTTATGTAAGTAGCACTTTACACTCCCTCTTAGCCTTTGTGGGATTGCTTTGACCACTTAATTGCTTTTATCCCCCCTTAATAGTTTTGATCCGTGGTTGGTTGAACCCACGATGCAGAACCTATGGATTCAGAGAACCGACTGTATGCATTTTCTCTCCTCAACCCCTGCCATCCAAACACTGAAATACGTTTTGTCTTTCAGTTAACTTTCCCTGGATCTCATCCCATGGGGCTCCATAAAGGGCTTCCTCACAACCATACTTTATTTCCCTGCCCACTACTGATGGACATTTACGTGGCTCCCAATCTTGAACTATTATAAGCACATGGCCTTGGGTATTCATCATGTCTCACATATGTGTGATATTTCCTGTAGGATATACTCCTAGAAGTGAACTTGCTCAGCCTCTAGGTTTCAAATTCACTTCAACCTAATTATGTGTGTGGTACCTGGCTTCAAAATCTGCAGGGCTGCTTTAGCAATGAAGAGCGCCAAAGAGAAAGTGAGCCTCATGTTCTGAGATCGGATCCCGTTCCGGACTACGTCCAATAGGTAAAGAAGCTGAAAATAGGAAAAAAGAGATGAGCATCTCCAGAACATCTATAATCAGTCTTGTGTTGTGCTGAATGTGGCCACTCCTCCCAGCCCAGGGACAGCCCCACTTCCTTGCCACCACCCCAGGCACACTTTCCTTTAGGAGTCAGGTATGTGCCCAACAGCAGAGAGAACCCTGCACCAAGCCCTGAAGATCCAACCTGTTCTTATTCCTTCCCCACCACAGGGCACAGAATTCTGAGGTCAGTCTGTTGGAATCACAGCCACCTTTAACCATCCAGCCCAGACCAAAGAAATATCCAACAGAGATCACGCCACGCTGTCCACCCACATCAGAACAAGAGAGGTTTATAGGGCAAAAACCCTGGAGGGTTGAGGATCAAGGACCACCTCATGCATCACCTCCTAAAAGGGAACAGATCTTTGTTCTTTATCAGTGCTCTCCTGACAACAGGCTTCCCCATGTCTTCAGATTAGAGCTAACTCTCTGAGCCTGCCAGGCCCACGCTCAACCCTGAAGGATGTCCCCTGTCTTCTTACTCACCTGAGACTGCTCGCGGAACCTTGCCCCCTCCAGATGTGAGTAGTAGGCTGCTAGCACGTAGTAGGCAGCGGCCCGCATCTTGGGGTCATAACTGCTGAGGGCTGCAACTGTCAGGCCGAGAGAATTTGAATCCAAAAACTTTCGACAATCCACCATAAATTCTAGAACAAATAAAATACAGGCATGCCAATTAAACACATTCACACAAACATAACTCCATGGTGCTTGTGTAGCCTGGAGAGTTAAATGTCCCTCTGTGCTTTACCAATTTCATGTACTTAATACAAGGAACACAAGTCTTTCCCCAGCTCCTCCTAACTTTTGCTGAAGTTGAAGAAGAGACCATCTTCTGTTCTGTGGTAATAACTGCCACACCTTCAGCTTCCAAGATGCTTCTGAATCCCAAGCAGGATTATCTTACGACCTCTTACAAATACCAATGAGCAAGAGAAGAAAGGAGGCAGGGGACACATAGTCCTCCTGCTAAGATTGCAGCAGGCTGGAATGGAGAAGCGCAGTGGGGAATCCACACAGGAAAATGGCTCATGGCTCCCACTTCAGTCACCCACTACCTGAGTTACCACCTATTAGCAGCCTAAGGAAACAATGCAGGGCAGAAAAAGCCAGGGCAGTCAGCCAGATGCAAATTGATTTGGACCATCATTTTATAAAGCATGTAGTTGTATATACTTTGCAACCTTAATTCTTTCTTTAAAGAAACAACACAATCTCACAGAAAACTGGCCCACCAAACTTGGAGCAAAACCTAAAACCAAGAAAGTTGATTCCAACTGATAGCAACCCTATAGGACAGAGTGGAACTGTCCCATAGGGTTTCCAAGGCTGTTAATCTTTATGGAAGCAGACTGCCTCATTTTTCTCTTGTGGAGCAAGCTGGTGGATTCAAAGCACTAACCTTTTTGGTCAGCAGCCCAATGCTTTAACTACACCCAAGCTTTAACCACAGTGCCACCAAAGCTTGTTGCTTGAGCAAAAGTTATACTCAAAAAAGTATGGTCATTTGCCATCCCTTAGGCCCCCCAAAACCTTCAATTACTCCAGGAAAGGATGTGACCAAGAGGTGGGGTGGATACAAGTGGGGAGGGACCCACCTTACCTCAGCTTACTACAAAAACACAAATCTATTACTGTTTTGTGTTGATTCCAACTCATGACTCATGTGCGACACAGTAGAACTGCTCCACAGAGTTTTTTCTTTGCTGTAATCTTCACTGAAGCAGATCACCAGGCCTTTTCTTCCACAGTGCCACTGGATGGGTTCGAACCACCAACCTTTAGGTTAGTAGTTGAGGGCCACCACTTGCACCACCTAGTGACCTACTACAACTTAAAGGGTTGACTTTCATGCATTAACATTCAAAATACTTTAATCTTTAATAAAAACTCAGGCCTTTGTACAAGATAAATACCAAGAAAACCTCAGAAGAGAAATGGGTCACACCTCAGATGAGTAATCTTGAAATATTCTATCAATAAAGGATATACTAGTAATAACATTTTTAAAAGTCTAACTTTTTCCCTCTTCTCTCCCTAAATTTAAGTTTCTAAAGAATGATGTTGACAATTCTAAAAATTAAGAATAACAGAAATAATGATAATAATAATTGGAATACAATGAAACCTGTGAGAGCCAGAATTGATGGGACTGACTTGCTTTTCTGGGGTTCACAATTTTCCACCTTTGACAGGGTGCCATCTTACCACTTTTCTGTCACTCATTTTAGTGGAAAATATTCGAGGTTTCCTTCTCTCATAGGCTTCTACCTTCTGGCTTTCACAGGTTTTATTGTACAGTAATCAGTTACTTCTTCTGAATCACTTAACAGCTTCACAGTCACACAATGGTACCTAAATGGGTGGCTATTCAAGAGTGTAGGGATCTCTTTAAACCATGAAGTGGAGGGCCTGTGAAACCATGCTTGGAGACCTACTGTTTGGGGGTAACAAGGTCCAAGAGTGGACAAACCAGTCCAGGGGGACTGGGGTTCTTGTCCTCAGATGCACAGAGCTTCTTGGAGCTTCTCACCAGCATCTCACCTAAGGAAGGCTTGCCAGAGGAGGAGGGGCCATTTATATATGCACTTACCTTCCTCTCTTTGGTATTTACCTTATCAAAGAATAATCAGTACATACACTTACGGTCATAATGGCGTGACCAAATTTACTATCCAACTGACACAATTAACATTTGAACATAGATTGAAGCTATTTCTGTGGGTCATCCTTTCTGAGGCTAAATAATAGCCTAGATTACAAAATAAACAGTATCATCAATAATAACAATACACAGTAATATGCTGCCTCAAACAATGAACTATATGAGACCAAATGGTCTACATTTACCCAAAAAAACAAAGATAAGAAGGCAAGGAGGGGAAGGAAGGTTAAAGCAATGGAAACAGATCATAACGAAATGCTGACACATTGTAGAAATGGAAATAATGAATGTAAATAATGAAATGCTGACACATTGTAAAAATTGTAACTAATGGTACAGAGTAATTTATATAAAAATTTCTAAAGGGGAAACTAATTTGCTTTGTAAGCTTTCACCTAAAACACAATACAATGTTATTAAATAAAACTGGACTGAATAAAGGAAACAATCGTTTCCAAGATACTGGACATCAGGCAACAAAGAACAGTGATCCCTGAGACATGAGGAACAAACAAGGTGAACTTTCTGATTGTCCCGGCTTATAGCCTCGAAAGAGTTTCTAGGGTGCAGTCCAGGGACGGAAAACTGAGGGGGAACCTGCTGGATGCTCTGAGCTGAGGAGATGAGCTAGGTATCCCTAGGAGGACAAGTGGGCTAGAATTCTGGAGAAGAACGAGCTGCACTGAGAGCTCTCGAGTCTTTTAAATCAGTACCAATCAGCATGCAGTGTGAGAAAACTACTGAGGCTGGGAAAGACCCACCCAGAAGCACTGGAGGAAGCACTCTTGAGGCTCACCCATGGCCAGAAACAGTTCCTGTTCCCACCAGCCAGGGTGAAATCCTCTCAAATCACAAGGCATAGAGTACGCAGAAGGATTTTATTTCAGTGGTGGGGCAAAATTAATCCCAAACTAAACATTATTTTGGTCCCACTTAATAAAGCTTAAAAAGCAAGATTGCAAAAGAGCAAACTGTTTCCAAGTAACTTGACTGCATCCTAAAATAAAGCTCAGAAACATTCAGGAATACAGAAATACCCAGCACCAAACAAGGTAAAAACTCATAATGTCTGGCTTCCAATCAAAAATTACCAGGCAGGAAAATACAACACGTAAGGAAGAGAAAAATCTTCCATTTGAAACCAACTCACCAGATGACAGAATTAGTAGATAAAGATATTAGAACAGTTATAACTGTATCCCACATTTCAAGAAGCTAGAGGGAAGACTGAGCATGTTCAGTAAAGACACGAAAGATATGAAATCCAAATCAAGAATCTAGAGATGAAAACTACAACTTCTGAAATGAAAAATCCACTGGATAGAGGGATTATCAGCAGAGAAGATATTGTAGAAGAAAAATAAAAAAACCAACTAGTTTACTTAAAGAGAGAGCTATTGAAGCCATCCAAAACACAGAGAGAAAAAGTAAATAAACCAAAACTAAACAAATAAAACACTCTAAAACATCAGTGATACGTGTATGTCCCTGGGGGGAAAATTGTTCAAATTTGACAGAACTATAAACTCAAAACTAGGAAGGTCAACTAACCTCAAACATAAGAAATATAAAGAAAATTACATAATAATTAAATTGCTGAAGACTGTTGTTGCTGTTATGTGCCATCGAGTCGGACCCAGCTCATAGCGACCCCTCCTAGGATTTCCAAGGCAGTATCACTATGGAAGTAGATTGTCCCATCTTCCTTCCGAGGAGTGGCTGGTGGGTTTGAACCGCCAGCCCTCTGGTTAGCAGTCAGTGTCTTAGGCAATATGCTACCAGAGCTCCCTGCTGAAGACTAGTGACTTAAAATAAAATCTTAAAAGCAGTCACACACCATGGTGCAGTGAATTAATTAGCATGGCTTTTCCAGCCAGTCTTTGTGTCTCTCACCAGATTCCTGGGTGAGATTATGCAAATAAGATGTGTGGAACTCTAATGTGAGCACTGGTTCGTTTTGCTATGCTGCTGGGCTTAAAATGAGCCCTTCTGGAGGCAGAGGGGGGATCTCACTGCCATCAAGAAAGAAGAGCTGGATTTGGAGTGGAGCGCGTCCTTGGACCCAAGATCCCTGTGCTAGACCTCATTGGCAGAAACGCCCCGGCAGAGACACCCTGGCAGAGATGCCCAGCAGAGATGCCCTGGCACAGAGACGGTGGCAGTGGAACCAAAAGGCATGAGACAGAGCAGTGGCCTTACTGGCCCACAGAGCAAGAGAGCTGAGTACTCTTGGGCAGGAGGCATGCTGGCAGAGTGGGGTACACCTAGGTGCCCTTACTGGCATAACTAAAAGAGCTTTGTAACACTTGCCCAAGCAGGGCAGAGGCCAGGCGAGAGGCCCAGGGCCAGAGAGGCGTGCCTGAAGGCACAGCAGAGGGGAGACTGTCCTAATCAAAGAACTGTATCCTGAGTACATTCCCGAACTTGAATTGTAGCCTGTTATTTCCCTAATAAGCCCCATAAACGTAAGCATTGTCTGCGAGTTGTATGTGGCCATTGCAACGAATTATCGAACCCAGCAGAGAAGTGAGTGCTGTGGGAGGGACGGTTGCTGTCAAAGTTGGTAAAAAGGCTAGAAGATAACAGCACATACATACAGAGAAATAAAAACAAGGACAGCAGAATTCTTGCTAGAAGCAATGCAAATGAGAAGTCAATAGAACACATCTTTAAAGTACAGCCGATCCTCCAACAACACAGGCTCGAAATGGACGGGTCCACTTATACGCGGATTCCTTTCAAGATATGGATCTTGGAGAAATTCAAGAGCTAAAGGACACCACACCTGAGGAATTAACAGATAATGATGTGATGGAGATAACTGCTTCCAAGCCAGTGCCAGATAAGGAGAAAGAGACTTAGAAGAAGTAGTGCAAGAAAACAAACTGACGTGAGATAATCTGGCAGAAGGGTTCCAATTATCCAGGACTGATTTTGACTTCTTTCACGACATTGATGCTTCTATGACACGCGCCCTGAAAC